CTCCCGCGGGCTCCGCAGGCGCCCGCACCGCGCGGCCAGGTATCCGCGCGCGTCCCTCAGGCTGCGCCGCGCCAGGCCGGGGCGAAGGGCTCCCGCCGCCCGGATCGGCCGACTCCGGCAGCTACCTCCGCACACATGACGTAGGCCGGGATTCGATCAAACTTTCTACGCCCTGAGCCCACGCAGGAGGCGGCACGGACGGTGGGAGAATCCTCTCCGCGCCAAGCGCGCCGGGCCCAGACCGACTCCGGGCCGAACGATTTCCTGGCCGTTAAAGAGAAAAATAAAAACCTAAAGCTTCCGCTTCCCAGCCCCCTTCACTTCCCCTAGCCCAAGCTCTCTCTGTGCGCACTAGGTAAAGAGAAGAAAAAAATTTAAAAAGAAAAAGAAACGAAAACTTTAGGGCTGTTTGGCGGGTTTCTCCGCAGTCCCTGCGCACTCGCGCCCAGGTCCGAGCTGCGGGCGTCGCAGCCCGGGGCTCCCCGCGCCCCAACCCGCGCGGGATGGAGCTGTCGCTCAGGGAGCGGCGGGGCTGGGCGGCGGAGAGGTCCCAACTCCCCGGCTCCCGCCTTTTCCGAGACTCCCGCACCCCGCACAGGCAACCCAGGGGACTCCCCGGAGCCCCCGGCCTTCCCGCTGTAGCTAACAAAGAGGGGCGCGAGGAGAGCGCTTCTCGCTGGTCTCCGCGCCGGCAGCGTCCGGGAGAGCAGGCTCGGGGGTGCGCGCTCCCCGCGGCTGCCGCTCCCGCCTCAGGGCCCGAAGGCCCAGGGAGCCCTAGCTCTCCGCCCCCCAGCGCCTTACCTGGGGTTGCTGCTGTTCCAGTAGACAGCGTAGCGGTCGGCCACGGCCTTGGAGCCCGGATCCTGGCTGAACACGCACATCCAGAGCACCAGAAACACCAGCGTCAACATCTCCACGTGCAACATCACGCCTGGCCAGCGGCGGAGCCCCCGACGCGCCGCTCCGGGGAGAGAGCAGGGATCCGGAGGGAGGGAGGGAGGGAACAGAGAGAGAGCGGGCGCCCAATAAATATGAATAAATAAAATGAAGGGGGGGCGAGAAAGCCAAGAGGCGCACGCCGAGCTGGGGAGGGGCAAGAGAAGGAGAAGAAAAGAAGGTGGTGGAATGGGGAGGGGGAAGAGAAAGACAACTCGTGCCCCCACCGGAAGGCTCGGGAGGAAAAAGGAATCACAAGATGGAGAGTAGCGTGCGTGTGTGGTGGCAGCGGCGAGGGCGGGGGAAGGGGTGCCAAGCTGGGTCTCGGGCGGCGGCTGCAGGCCGGTCACCCCGGGAGAGGGAGGTGCGCGCGGGGCCGGGCGGCGGCAGCGCGGGTCGGGGCGGGCG